AAAGCTCAAACGTTCTCTCTCTAGTTTCTCTACTATTGGGTGTTTAGCTATGTTATGTTTGTTGAACTCCAGTTCATTTCTATTTGAAAAATGACTAATAAAAAATCCGAAAAATGAGAAATCCCCTCCCCAAAAAAAAATGATGAATTAGCATAGTCTCCTAAAAATGCAAAATCCTAAAATAGAATTTTGAAATTCAAACATAAAGACACAAATTTTCCCATTTATAATTTCTATTTCCAAACTAATAAAATGAATTGAAAATTTGTTATTACCAATTAAAATTTAGGAATTGAGCATTTTCTAAAAGCGTGATTTGATATTTTGGGTTGAAATCATGACTTGTTAATTTCTATTCTAAAAATAGTAAAATGCATTCAAAATTTATTATTTTCCGTATAGAATTTACTATTTAGAATTGAGACCATGCCATTATTTGAAGTAATTCATAATTTTTGTACATGTAGTAGAGATACTTCATCAGTTACTAACAACTTTCGTTTAGCAAGTAATAAAACTAATCTTTCAGGTATTCTTCTATATTGAAGGCAATAATGTTTCAGAAGCTTTTTTTAAAGTAATTTTTAGTTATATCCAGTGGTCTTTTAGAGTGCTGGATGCACTAAAAATAAAATTTAAGTGTTGGATGCACCAAGTAAATAAAACCAAGAAGTTGAATACATCATTAGAAAAATAAGAGTGTTGGATACATCTTTACCCTTTTATTTTTAAAATATCCTTTCACTTTATATCTTGTGACACTTAATTATCATCCGCATAAATCATAATTAATAGATTATGAACATAAGAAAATATAAAACTCAATAAAAAAAAACTATGGAGATTTGATTAAAAGTATAATGAAATTATAAACACCTACAAATTAATTTTTCTTTTCTTTAATCCTTTCCTTATATTGGATTAAATTTCTCACCGGACCATGATAAGCAATGATGGAATCCGGGAATAAATGTCGGTGTGGTGTGACTTGTGAGCCGAGCGGGCGAAAATGACATCAAAATAAATTAAGAAAATTAAGGATAATAACATCAAAATAAATAAACCCGTATGTACTGATAAAATACTATCGCCGACCAAAAAAGAAAGATAAAATACTATTAGGTGCTCTATGTTTTTTTTTTTAATAAGCAACAATTGTTTTAGCTAATAACTAGACGAAACGATCCATATAAAAAAGGTTTCAGCAACTAACATACAATGGTAAGTAGAAGCGAAGCCCAACGGCGGGTCCAAACTAGTAAAGCAAGTAACATATGAATTAGGTGTTGCGACCTCCTTTTTAGATACATTGAGTCATTTGGATTCTGGTTGATATAGTTTTGTTTTTTCCTCCTTGTTTAATTTTCACTATTTCATGTCTTTTGTTGGTGCAAACTACAAGGTTCTATTGTATTCTGTGTTTGTTAGTTCCCTTTAATTTTTCCGGTTTTTTCTGCCTTTACTCCGTTGTTCCGTAGATTTTGGTTTGTGCATGATTCAATTAAATGCCTCTTGGCTTAAAGGAAAAAACCAAAGCTTATAGGAAAGTTAAGTTTTATTAATAATAAAATTGTATTTTTCCATTAAGTAGAGCGTATATGATTGATGAGTGTAGGAGTTCAAGCTGTGTGTATGTAAACATGGTTATGATTTTTTTTTCCTATCCCTAAATGATTGCCCTTTGCCCTGAACAAAACTTATGTAAAATTTTTTTATAATCATTATGTTAATTTTTTATTCACACTTTATCATGTGTCATACCCTTTTTTTTTTTTTTCATATACCATTGTTTGATTTAATTTTAAATCCACATAAAAATAGGACACATAATAATATCAGTGAACTGGTTAGTGGTCCAATTTAGTTTGGGTAGTGAACCGGTTAGGAGTTAAAACGGTACCGAACCGGTCAAACCTTTGAAAACAGGTAAAAACCAGTGATAAACTAGTTTGGATGATTATTATTCATTTATCCTATTTTTTCTCATTCAGCTCTTAATACTCAGTTACTATAGATTTGAATGAATTTTAATGATGATTTTGGTATCAATAATTATTAATTTTAGTTATTGATGAATTGTAAAAATCAAAATTCTCAATGTTGTTATACTCCTCCAGTCCTTAATATATGACCTAATTGTTGAGTTGATTTGGTTTTAAATATAAGATCTATTTCTCATATTTATCAGTTTTTCTTAAATTATCCTAATAGATATTCCCTTAACCATAATAAGTAGAAGAGAGAGGGAGGATATTAAGAAAGATAATTATGATATTTTAGGAAAAACATGTTATATTTCTTATAATTAACTAACTTACCTAACTTCCTTAATCTACTCAAATTAATTAAATAGATCTTATATTAAGGACTAAATAAGTACTTTATTATTGTTACAATCAAACTATTGTTATATTTTCTTGTATTTTGTTATTACTGATTTTTAATATTGTTGTTTTTTTTATTTTTAATTAAATTATATTATTTTAATATAACAAGTTTGATCACAAATTGACCTGATCTGACCAACTAACTTTTAAATCACTATCTTGATTGATTTAGTATTCAGTCTAAATTTTTGTTTCTTGCTTTTTTCACAACCTATTTCTTTTAATATGCCAGTCACCAATAAATTGATCTCAATTGATAACTTTATTTAGTGTTATTCTACGTTTTTATCTGCATTTCTTAATAAAGCTAAAGACTATTGATTCACTTTTTCTCACAAGCACCTTTTTTGCATGTAGCCAAATTATTTTTAAATGATAGATTTTCCATAATTTTTTTAATTGATAGATACCACTACGATTTGTCTTCTTATGTGGTCATCGTAGATTCATCGTTTTTGTTTTAAGATCATTACACATTTATCTTTTCGTGTACTCTTTTGTCTTGGATTGATTTTTATATTAACTTAACCACCCCCCTCCATTTATAATTGTTTGATATCAATAAAAGCTTCAATATACACCATTTATTTTATAAAATTTAATTGATGAATTGAAATATATTTTTCAAAGTACATGCTCATCAGGAGTTTAAAACAATAAAGAAGGCGGATAAAAAAAAATTTTAAGGGAGAATATTTGGAAATTTTAAAGGGGAAAAAAAAAAACTATAGAGACACATTATACATGTCAGTAGGTTCTTTTTTCAATTTGTGGGAGTAGGTTGGCTGCCCCTAAATGATTGCCGCTCGTATTGAATCATTACAAATAAATTATGAAGATATACAAGTAAAGAGGATATCACACGATGTGAGAGTTATAAATTTTTTATTAATACTCATAGGCTCTTAATAGTAATCTTTTCTGAAAAATTTGAATTATAACTCTTCAGTTATGATAACAAGAAAGTTCTGCACAACAACTTTTATTAAACAATAATTACTCTAAAACCCTAAATAGAATTTTTCCCCCAGGAGTAAACTCATCAGCCATCATTTCGACAGTTCAACTTCTTGAAATCGTTACTTATTATTTTCAGTTCAGCTTTTAGAAAAGTGACTTTGGAGAAAAGTGACTTGGGAAAAAAAAATTTATGTAAAAAAATAATTTTGAGTAGAATAAATTTTGTGAAAAAAATATTACCGGAAGTTGTTCTCCCTAACTAATATCAAAACCATGGTTTTTTTAGACTAGTCTTACGTAGGAAATGGAAGGTGTATCTAGATCATGTGGATGGAATGTGGTTGTTGTAGCTAATTACTTAGCTAAATTAGGCTCTTACTGATTATATCTGCATCTTTAATTATCTTCTCTCTTCTTAATAGCAGGTGGCCGATGATTATATTAAAGATGCTTAGGGTTTGGATTCTTTTGTATTTGTGTTTGTCTATACCTGATTTCCCATTTGTTGGCAAAAAAAATTACTACCTCTGGTCCTAATTATAAGATCCAGTTGACCAATTTGAAAAGATTAAGGAATAAAGTTAAGTTAGTTATTTGTAATAAATAAGTGTTGTCTTTCCTAAAATATCCTTACTAATCAACTATATTAGCTAGAACTACAATTATTAGAAGGACTACCTTGAAAAAAAAAAAGTATAAATATGAGAAACAAAATGGATTGGGATTTTATATTTAGGACCAAAATAAAAGTCAACCAGGATCTTATATTAAGGACTGGAGGTAGTATATATAAATATATATATATATATATCAGATTTCCCATTTTTATTTTTAAAAAACCATGGGCCTTTTATAAATTTATTATGGAAAATTATTGTGTTTGGCTGTGTTTTTTTCCCGGCAAAAAAACAAAAGGATGTGGCTTTTTTCCCTCCCAAAATCATGGTTTTGAGGAGCATCTAAACACATTTTCTCGATTATACATATAGGAATGATAAATTTAAAAAGCAGGAGTAGATTTCTGAAAATCATTCTAAAAACCAGATGTGATACTTTGGTATTTCAAATATAGAAGTTCAAACAAACTAATTATCCTCCCTTATGTGAAGTTTTAATTTTCCTAAAAGCAAACATTTGTTGAGCCACCTAACCGACATGGAGGAAGGTATACATATGAATTAAAAGTAGATTCGCAAATCATGATACATGCTTTTAATTTCCCTTTTTTTTTTCACCCGCTATTGAAATTAAAATATTATCCTGGTTCTTAATATAAGAGCTAGCTAATTAATTTGTGTAGATTAAGAAAATTTATTAAGTTAATTATTTGTAATAAATATGTGTTATCTTCTCTATAGTCATTATAACTACTATTTGATAGAACATTTAACATATGCAATTATCACAATAACTATTTTAAAAAAATAGATAAATATGAAAGAGTGAGAAATAAAATGAATTAGAGTCTTATAATTAGGATTTAATTAAATATCAAACTGGTTCTTACATCCTCTTCCATGTTACTGGTCGTTTCCTCTTCTGCCATGCACTAACGTTTTGCACTTATTTATCCCCAGCCAAGAATATTTCTCGTCATTCACAGGCAATTCTATTTCTCACCCAGCTGCTTCACTTTCTCCTCTTTTCATATCTATGGCTTCCATAGCTGCTCTGTCCTCATTATCATCTGAACACCAAAAAGCTTGTACATCGGATGGCATTTCAAGCATCAAAACCTTTGCTGAATCAAACGACGTCGTCGCTTCTATCCCTTCCTCGTACCACTCACTTCCTCATGATGATAATGTTGTAGACCACCTTGCTGATTCCATCCCCATCATCGATTTCTCCCTCCTCACCTCACACGATCCTCAAATCCATGCCAATGCCGTTCGAGAACTTGGCAAAGCTTGCCAAGATTGGAACTTATTCATGGTAATTAGATTAAATTTTAACCCTTTTGAACTTGCTTGGAACTAATTTTTTTCATGTTTTTTTTTTCTTTTTTGGCCTGAGTCTACATTGTACTTGAGGGTGTACCATCTTTCAGATCATAAATCATGGGATTGCAGAAAGCCTGACGGAGGAAGTAATGAAGAAGTCAGCTGAGTTTCACAATTTGCCTCTGGAAGAGAAGAAGGAGTTCAAAGACGAGGGCTTGTTCGCCCCCATTAGATATGGCACTAGTTCTCATAGTCAAGAAGAGAAGGTTCATTACTGGAGAGATTACCTGAGGGTCACAACTTTTCCTGAGTTCCATTTCCCTCACAAGCCATCTGGTTTCAAGTACATCAACTTCAAAACTCATACATACATATATATATATATATATATATATATTGGCCGAGCTCTCTGTCTTTCTCTTCCTTACTAATTAATGGCCTTTAATTTGTTTCTGCATGCAGGGAGGTGGCATTTGAGTATACTAGGAAGATCAGAAGTATAGTGAGGGAATTACTTCAAGGAGTATCAGAGAGTTTAGGGTTAGAGGCTAATGCTATTATTGAGCCCACGAATTTTGATTCTGGGTTTCAAAAATTTCAAGTGAACTTGTATCCTCCATGTCCTCGTCCAGACCTTGCTTTAGGGCTGCCTGCTCATACCGATAATGGCTTCTTCACCATCCTCGCGCAAAACAAAATTGCAGGTCTTCAAGTGAAACATGATGGCAAATGGATTAATGTTAATCCTCTTCCTAATTGCTTACTTGCAATTCCGGGAGATCAACTCGAGGTCGTTAATTATTTCTTCTAGTTCTTATAGACTTTCTGTAACTATATTTCCTTGCTTTTCTAATAATTCTAACTTTCTAACCATTATATTCTGGCTTTGTTTGGATGTTAATTAGCTTGTGAGTAACGGAAGGTACAAGAGTATTTGGCACCGAGCAATGCTTAATGACAAAAACACAAGGGTGACTCTTGCAATAGCAAACGGACCACCTCTTGAGAAAGAGATAGGGCCAACACCAGAGCTTTTGGAGAAGGAAGAGCCATTGTTCAAGAGCATCAAGTTCAAGGACTACATTGAACTTCAACAGCAAGCCAGATGTGTTGCAGGAAGAACCTTGGATAACATTCGTATTACTTAAGGAGAATTACTATGAGACCCCAGTTAATGAAATTAATCATAATTTTATGCATAATTTTGATATGAACAATACTTAGATCCAGTTCCTTACAACCATTATGTCAAGTCCTTAAATCACATTTGTCATGTGTCCTATTTTTTTCAGAAAAATTTAGGATTAAATCCCTCCTTGTGTCAATTTATAATGATGAGATAGCTATTATATATTCTTAAATTTTAATATATTTATTGTTTATAAATAATTTAGCTGATAATTTCTTTTGATTTTGGTATGGAAGTTAAAACTGATGATTTATATGCTAAGAACTAGAGAGAGTAGTGTTGTAAAACTGTTTTTCTATAGTCAGATCTAGCTAGTAAAGCCACAGTAAGAATAAAACCCAAGGAGTTTAACTAAAATTAGTAATCTCAGTATAGATGTTTTAACTTGATTTATATCATGTAAGAAAAATTAAAAGTAAAATAGCATCCAACACTCAAGAGTATTCTTTTTCGATAATACTGAATTTTAATATATCTAGCAATTTAAAGTATTATTTTTATTAACGCTCAATATTTTAAAATAATTTTTTATGCATCTAACACTTTAAAATATTTTAATATCAGCACACGGTTTAAGCTGAAGATTTCTCTTATCAGTGAGTAAAATACTTTAAAGGATGAATTTATACCAAACATTATTTTAAAATACTGAGTATTACTAAAAAAAAATATTTCAGTATGTTGAATATACTAAAAATTAATCTAAAATATTAAGTGTTACTAAAAGATATTTTACGGGAGGCAACCTAATGCAAAAATAATTGTATGATTACTCAAATATCTTTTGAGTATCTTTTTCTCCTACGTCTTCTCCAGATCTGCATGCATTCATTTCCGCAATTGGAAATGGCATAAAAAATAGGATACTGGTCTCTATCAATCTCTATCTTTTGTTGTCTGTGTCTCTATAATGATATCAAACACATGAATCTGGGAGATCAAGCTATATGAAAGAATTGGGAAATAAAAATTATAAAAATCCATGCTAGTTAATCATCAATCAACCTATGTGATATGGAGCAAAAAAAAAAAAACGCTAATTATCAACATGTAAGTGTATATGATGATCTGATGAACGAAACTTGGATTAATATTATTTATAATTTATGATTATAATACAAATAGCTAATATTATAATTCTCATTAATTAATCCAAATTAAAAAAAAAATCCATTTCCCCTCCTATTTTCTCCGCTTTTCTCCCCTTCTCTCTATCCAGACATAGGGTAAATGATTGCACTTGGATCCGTTCGTGGGTTGGCCAACATAATTGAATTATTAACAATAAATAATAAAGAAATACAAATAAAGTGAACAGATCACATTTTATAAAGAAAAGGAGAGATCCTACGGTTGAAGCTAGAAAATTTTATGCCACACTAAAATATACTATACATATATTTAAGTTGTTAATTGTAATATTTTCTTTAAACTTTAAAATATAATCATTCCAACGTTAATATGAGTTACTTAACTAAAAATAAATTAAGAACAATTTGATTTTGCTATATGATGAGGGGGGTTAAATGAATGGATGAGGTATGTCATGTATATGGATTTAAGTGGGAAATGTTTGTGATTGTTGAATACTGAGAATTGGCAATTTAATTTGATTTAACTAAAGTATTATTAGTTTTATCCTTTTGTACTCAAAGAACACCAGGAGGATGAGTTAGCTTTATCCTTTTGTTACTGTGAACTCACTACAAGCACTGGAATAATGAATGCTTAGTTATATTGACATAAATTTTTATGTTGGTGTATTTTTTTTAATTTATATTCACATGCTCTGTTTATGGTAAGTAAATATTAGTTGGTGAGTATGGTCGGAGGTCGGAGGTAATTGTTTGTGTCATTGCATGTGCACGTTGTAGCGTAGTTTTAATTAATGGTCTGATTAGCTTTTAAGGTCCAAATTTGTGTCGCACAGAAGCTAAATAATTTGGATAATTTGAAGATGTGACTGAGTTCTATTAGTTCAAAAGACTGGAGCCTGAAGCAGAGTTCCGACACAAGGAACACATTAGCAGTACGAGTTGAAGCACAAGCAAAATTTGATCGGCCTACTTCACCACATGTAGAGGAAATTAGGACTATTATAAGTTACCTTTTGTTCCTACTCTATAGCCGTGTCAAAATGATTTGATCTGACTGTACATTATTAGTGTTTATGCAATGTGATAAGTTTACTAATATAAGAACATGTGGGTTGTAAATTCATGGAAGTTAATAAAATCATATTCTTTTTATATAAAAATAAAATCTTATTCTTCCTGAGATACAATGCGTATTAGAGACATAATAATTTTTAGGATGGAAGTTATTATCTCTATGCTTTTGTTATTACTTTTTCTTATTCAATAAAGATGGTAATGAGAAATTAAATAATTTTGAATAAACAAGTCAGGAAAAGGTCAATAGGATGCAATTAAATAATCAGCAATTAGGTACACAAATTGAGAGGTATTATTCACGTGATTTAGATCTTTAATGAACCGTGGTGTATCTATTCACTTCGATTGGGAAGGGGCGAATTGTTGACTGAATAAAATATTCAATTTGTATGTGTTGTGCAAAGACGTCGTTAGCAGTTACCACTAGCAGTGTCCCACCCTAATTTTGCAGGAATTGCAGGGACGATGATGATTTGTTTGAATTTAGGTGTGGTGTTGTCATATATGAATTAGCCAACTCCAAGGCATTGTTAATACATTTTTTGTAACTGCGAAGGAAAATTGGATATAGTTAAGTGCCTTATTCATATATTTTATCAATTTGCATGAGTTCATATATGGTGACATCATTTACAAAGACTATTGTACCACACATTTCACAATCCATTGTTCCACATAATGTGGAGTGATGTTTTGCAGAAAATCTTATTAGGGATATGGATGATGCAAGACATATCTTTGTCGTTGAAAAGAGTGAAGGAGGGATTGCTTTATGGAAGTTACACATGATAGTATGTCAATCAATAAGAAACATAATCTTAAGGGCTTTATAAATATAATAGCTTTAATGTTTTAATCCTTCAGTTCCTCCCATCATTGAGAGATACTGTGGGGAAAAAAAATCCTGATTTTCTTCAGCTTCGGTGGATGTTTCATAGCTGCAGTTTCTTATTTCATGCTAAACCTGGAGTTAGCTTTATGCAAATTTCAATTTTTTTTTGGCTTTTTCATTTTTTGCTTTAAAGTTGTTAGATTGCATATGCGTAGTTGTTGGACTTTGTGTAGATTGTGTTCAGAATGTCGCTCACTATTAGGGTGGAAATCTACCAAACAGGGCTGCTATAGAGTGTTGATTCAATTGAGGGATATTGTGTGGAAAATCCTCAACTATACATCTTTCTTGGTATATGTTTCATGTAATCCATAAAATTCAATCATAACAGTGGAGGCATTGTGACGCCTATGTAACAGTATGTCATTCATAATACTACAACACAAAATCTTCTACCATGAGAGCAATACTTGTACTGATCAGATGTGGAATTTTTTTTCTTTTGAATTTGATTTCTTGTATTGATGTGCAGTATATATTCTACAGTAAACAGATGTGTGTGCATGAACGGATTTGTTATTCAGAGAAATACTTGAGAAGAATTGGGAATTAAGGATAGATGTCTGGGATTAATTTTATATATGTAGATGCACTTAAGTTTAAAAATAAACTTCAAATCATTTCAGGATTTTTTACAAGTCAATGTTCAGGAAACCTTTTTATTATAACCCTTTAAAAATATAGATTGGGATTCACCATCCGTTTGGGAAGCATTAGCCCAACCCTGTTTTGACCAATTATTAATCATCACATGCACAAGTGTTTATTATAGCAGCTTATGGAATTGTTAGCAACACCCACTGCCCATATTGCCTTGTATAGCAGTTTGTTAGCTCATAGTGTGCCAATTATTAATCATCACATGGACAAGTAGCAGTTTATGGAATTGTCAGTGACACCCACTACTCATATTGCCTTGTATAGCAGTTTCTTAGCTCATAGTGGGCCATGTTTGACAACTATTTAAGTGTCTTTTTCATAGGGGAAGTAAATGCTTGCCATCTCAGTTTGCACAGAAGAGGGGAAGTATTCACTTCCTATTGTATCCTCCCCACTTTCAAGTTGCAACACTATTCCAAAATATTTATTTGCGTCGTTGAACTATTTTTCATGATATTTGCCTTGTCATTAATGTTCCATTAATTTAAAGGATTTGTTGTTGAAAATTATTTTTTTGGCAACTAATAATTTGTAGCCTATGCATCTAATTCTTATAATAACAACAAAAAACCTTATATATCAATTATGAAGTGGAGTTGATTTCATAAATCACATCACATACCATATTTTATCCACCTCTTAATATAAAATTCACCAATAGATCTCAATTGATAACTTTATTTAGTATTATTCTCGGTTTTTATGCATCTCTTTATAAAGCTATTAATAACTCAATTAAATTGATAACTTTATTTAGTATTATTCTCGGTTTTTATGCATCTCTTTATAAAGCTATTAATAACTCAATTAAATTGATAACTTTATTTAGTATTATTCTCGGTTCTTCTACTCTATTAAATTGATTGATTTTTTTTTAATAACTCAACCACCCCCTCCATTTATATAATGGCTTAATTATAAACACTTCATCACACATCGTTTATTTTATAAAATTTAATTCTATCATTAATATTAAAATATATTTTTTTTCAGAGGACAAGCTCGTCAGCGGATCAGGTCATGTCATCGAATATGCTTTATGTTTTTTTACCTTGTGGAAGTAGGTGAGCTGTCCCTAAATGATTGCCCTTGGATACGAAATTCAATCCTTAATTAGAAATAAATCATAAAGATATACTTGTCCAATTCTTAATATACAACCTAATTATTGAGTTGATTTTGATCCTAAATATCAACCTATTTCTCATATTTATCAGTTTTTCCTAAAGTATCCCTATGAATACTCTCTTAACCATAACCAAATATAAGAGAAAAGAATGATATTAAGAAAGACGATTATAGTGTTTTAGGAAAAGCATGTCATATTTCTTATAATTAACTAAATTACCTAACTTCTGTAATCTAATCAAATTAGTTAAATAGGTCTTATATTAAGAACCGGACGAGTACAAGTAACGGAGATATCACATGCTTGAAAGTCAGAACACAGGTACCAACGGGGGTTGGTCCAAGTGGTAAGCGGCTTGGTACCGTTTAAACGAGGTCTCGAGTTTGAACCTCAGCGTATACAGAAATCCTTGTTGGGAGACTCACCCATCACAGCCAGGTGCGCGATGCGGATCGGATTCAGATGTAATTGGAATAAAGTTTCGAAGAATTGAGTGGGCAAAAAAAAAAAGTTAGAACACAGGTTATAATTTTGGTATTTCAAAGAAGTTCAAACTTTCAAGTTAATTATCTTCCCATATGGATCAATATATGTGATAGTTTTCTCCTAAAATAAACATTTGTTGATCATTTGTAGGAAAATAACATTTATTGAGCCACGTAAGTACCCAACCACACCTTAAAATCCATTTTTTAATTTTTGGTTTCGAGCACAATAATGTCCCCCCACCCCAACCATAATGTCACTTTTCTCGTGATCTTTATCATAAGGACTATTTTATTATTATAAGGAATATTCTAGAAGGAATGACTGATTTTTGATATAAATTATTAAGTAATGCATTAAATATATGGAATAAAAAACATTAACCAACTTTTCCTTTATCTAAATTACAGAAACCTCTTTTTTATTCTAGAAACGTATGTGAATTTTTCTTAAAATAAAAATATGTTTTACACAAATTTTTTTATATAAAAAATTTATTTTCATTCATTTAAACTATTAGTTGACCATTAAATTTGATTTTTGAATTTTTGTTTCAACCAAAATACCCTTCCATAGAACAAGAATCATTTAAAAATCTTTAAAAATAATTTTCATATAGCTTAAAACTTGTGAGAATACATATTTTTTTTGAACTTTCTAATATGTTATAATGTTTATTAATTTTGATTATATCATAAAATTTTATAATTTAATATTTTCAAAATTGACTTTATTATTTGATGTTTGTCCCAATTTTCTTTTACTTCTCAAAATATAATTTATAATTTTCAATGTAAGTAAATTTAAAAACTTGTTTCATTTTCAAAGAAATTTAATAACTTAATTATCTCTCATTCCATTGCATATTATCTCTACTTCAATTATATGATATTAAATGTATTTTATGATAGGCATGGAAGGAAATACTGGGTCCATTTGGATTAACGGTAGTAAAAGTAAATTATTTTTATTCTGACAGTTAAAAAAATAAGATTGGGTAAAAGTTATATTAGGTAACGTGATTTCTGTTTAGATTGACTTTTATTAAAATTAGTTTGTAAAGTAACAAAGTTATTTGAATTATGATTAAATAAGTAAGTTTAGTTTATAGAATGAACAAAATAAGTATAATTTTTAAAAAATAATTAAAAATATAAATTTACAAAATATAATAATTTTAAATTAGTATAATAGGAAAAATTTATATTTAATGAATAAAATATATTTAAATTAGAAATAATAGTAACATGAAAAATTTTAAACTAAATAATATTACATAATTAATTAAATAATATATCTACATAATTTATGTAAATATAAAATTAAAAAATAATATTAAAAATTAAAAATATTATAAAAACTGTTAAAAATTATTTTTAACTTAAGAGAATATTAAAAATAAATAATTAAACAATGATTAGAAAGTACAAAAAATATATGGAAAGAAGCACAAGAACAATATAAATATAAAGTAAAAATGTCTTTTGATTTTAAAAAAATATTTTTGCATATGTCATAAGTAAGTTTTAGGTGCTTTTATAATCGTACTTAAAAAAGCACTTTCTAACCCATAAGTCAGATACAAATTGATTAACACATCTATAAACTATTTTTTCCCTCAAAATGCCTTACCAAACTTGCTGACTATCAATTAAAAAAAAAAGTAGAAGTACATGCGCAAATCGTATAGTAGAAGTAGTATCTTTTTCTGCTTTTGTTTACAGCCAGCTTTAAAATTAAAATATTTAATTAGTCGTTTATCCCACAAATCATGCATTATTGTTTAGCATTTATTTATACCTCCCAGCCAATAGTTCTCATTTCACATTCTATTTTTCACGTAACTGGTTTCTTTGCTGCTTAAATTTACTTCCTTCTCTTATCACATCTATGGCTTCCATAGATGCTTTGCCCTCATCATCATCAGAACCCCAAAATGTTCGTGCATCTGACATTTCAAGCATCAAAGCCTTCACCGAATCAAACGACGTCGTCGCTTCTATCCCTTCCTTGTACCACTCACTTCCTCATGACGATGATGTTGCAAACCACCTTGCTGATTCCATCCCCGTCATCGATTTCTCCCTCCTCAACTCACAGGATCCTCAAATCCATGCTAATGCCGTTCAAGAACTTGGCAAAGCCTGCCAAGATTGGAACTTCTTCATGGTAGATAAATTTTTTTTTTCTGGGTTATTCTCTGTAATTGTTTTTTGCCTGAGTTTACGTTGTACTGTGGGGTGTACCATTTCTCAGATTATAAATCATGGGATTGGAGAGAGCCTGATGGAGGAAGTAATGAAGAAGTCCGTGGAGTTTCACAATTTGCCTCTTGAAGAAAAGGAGGAGTTCAAAGACGAGGGCTTGTTCCCACACATTAGATATGGCACTGGTTCTCATAGTCAAGCAGAGAAGGCTCATTACTGGAGAGATTATCTGAGAGTCACAACTTTTCCTGAGTTTCATTTCCCTCACAAGCCTTCTGGTTTCAAGTACGTAAATATTAATGTTATCAACAGACAGCTTTAAAAGAAAATCTCAATCCTAAGAAACCAACACTTGTGAGGCTTCCTGATATGCGACTCCTAAACATGATTTATAAGTTCAAGAGGCTCTTTCTTACTCCCTAGTCTTTTGGGAATTCTCCTTTTAAATTTGTGTTCATAACAGTCAACTTCAAAACTCTTTGGCCTCTCTGATCTTTCTCTTCCCTGCTAATTTGTTTTTTTTTTTTTTCCATACAGGGAAGTGGCATTTGAGTATAGTAGAAAGACCAGAAGTATAGTGAGGGCATTGCTTCAGGGAGTATCAGAGAGTCTAGGGTTAGAGCCTGATGCTATAATTGAGTCCACGGATTTTGATTCTGGGTTTCAAAAATTTCTAGCCAACTTGTATCCTCCATGTCCACGTCCAGACCTTGCTTTGGGGATACCTCCTCATACTGATAATGGCCTCTTCACCGTCCTCACGCAAAACGAAATTGCAGGCCTTCAACTGAAACATGATGGCAAGTGGATTAATGTTAATCCTCTTCCCAATTGCTTGCTTGTATTTCCTGGAGATCAACTCGAGGTCTGTTCTTTTAGTTCTTAAATACTTTCCCTAACTATATCTTTATTTTAATTTTTAGGAAAAATTACAAAAAAAGACTTTAAAATTGCTAAAACACAGATAGGGACCCTTGACAACTTCACTTTGGGTTTTGACAATAATAATATATCATAAAGTTGTCAAAACCCAAAGTGAAGTTATCAAGGGTCCCTATCTGCATTTTTGTAATTCCAAGGTCTTTTTTTGTAATTTCTCTTAATTTTTCTAAATCTTAAATAATTTTCATAATTTTATGTTTAATCTTTACGTGTTTGATTACGTATCTATATATATATGTTTAATCACAGCAGGTATTAAGTTTGAAAATATACAAGCACACATTTTGTTGAGCTAAAAAATGTTTTTTAAACTGTGCAAACTAAACCAAACTAAAATTTGAATGGCATTATTAATTATAAATATTAAGACAACAAATTCTGTTTTTTTTCACTTAACCACCCTTGCCCTGTTTCTCTTTTTTTTTTTTTTCCAATTTAAAATGGCAACACATGTTAACAGCTTGATATTAGAACTGGGATCGTGGTTGCAAATTCACATTTACATAGAAGTTTTCATGCCACCAGATTACAAAACCGTTAACACCTCGGCGATATGTTTCTAACCCATTATTATTGTGGCTGTGTTTGGATGTTAATCATTAGCTTGTGAGCAACGGAAGGTACAAGGGTATTTGGCACAGAGTAATGCTGAATGATAGAAACACGAGGGTGACCATTGCAATGATAGATGGACCACCTGTTGAGAAAGAGATAGGGCCAACCCCAAAGCTTTTGGAGAAGGAAAAGCCATTGTTCAAGAGCATCAAGTTCAAGGACTACGTTGACCTTAAACTGGCCAAGGGTGAAGCAAGCAGACCCTTGGATGATATTCTTCTTATTTAATTAATGTCCCAAAACTAATTCATAACAATAATAATGTGATTTGCAATGGGATTTGAACTTTATGTTGTTGTAAGCATGCAACCATATATATAATATGGTTAAAAGTACATATTTGTTATGAAAGTTTTCATTTAGGAGTTCTGGGTATCAGGTAGTTTTTTTTTTGAAGCAATTTTACCTTGGAAGATTAAAATCATAATAATGTGACCTCCTGCAATCAAAAAGCCACCGTTGACTATTAAAATAGTAATGTTGACTATTAACATTTTTAATGGTAAGAAGCAGTATTGTTATGATTTTAAATTTTAGAATAAATTTGCTCCTAAAGAAACTTCCGGATACCTAGAGCCATTGAGTGAAAATTTCCAGAAAAAATTTGCACCCTAACCCTAAATATATATATGATATATTTATATGCTTACAAAAATGATTGAGGCTGTTGATCATAATTTCATGTACATGATGGTATTTCCAATATAAGTTATGATATTAAGTTGCCATCGACTTCATATAAAATTTGTATGTTGGTTGAGCTTGTTTGAGATATTATATCTATTATTCTAAAACTTATAATTGATTTCAAGTAAATCTATCACTCGGTTAATTACTGAAGGTGACTTGTCGGCAGACAATTAAATAAAAGCAGAGTTATCAGATCGTGATTTTTCTGTTGTGGATTCGAATTATTAGAAGTAGAGGGGGTTATAAGATTATTATACATGACTCTGTATGCTATAAGATCCCAATTTGAAGGTTATTAGGATTCAAGCTTTTCTAGTGAACTGGAGAACATTATTTATGTTGATGATCGACCGGAGATGACTGGCTTTTGGATGACTGTATATTGACAGCTGAAATGCTTTGGCTCATGGCAGAATTTCAAGAGTTGAATGCAAGCAGTTTTCTTTTTTTAAAGGAAATAAAGAATGGAGGCTGAAGACGAGATTGAAGTTATCTTTAGCAAAGAACGTTGGTTTGGCTCTGCATATGATATGATATGATATGATGCTGCAAGTCAAAAGGACCATGGGAAATAATGGAGAGATCATGAAGAAATAAGAAAATAATGGCAGACGAGCACACTGAGTGACCAGGAACATGTCCGGGAAAGTAAAGGAAAAATATCATGCATTAAAAAAAAAAAAAAAATCTCCCCCTCTATATACATCTCCCCCAGTCTCTCTCCCTCTCCCCCTCTCTCTCATGCTTCTATGCATAGAGGCACGAGCCTGTGAGCCCCCCCCCCCCAAAAAAAAGTTCTTAGAGGTTGTGGTTGATTTAGCATAGCATTACTTTCCGTACTAAAGATGAGTTAGACGAGCTGGCTATAATATTACTTTGTAAGAGTTAGTTCGAGTTGAATTTAATTTTAAATATAATATATTAATTTATTTTATTTCTTATTTTTTTAAAAAAATATTCTTATTGATTGAAGGATTCCCACTAAAAAAATAATTCTAATTATTCAATGCACATGATTGAAGTGGACAATTTAAGGAGATCAACACACATTTGTGACAAATAACTAATTTAACTAATTTTTTTAATAATTACAAATTGATTTTCTAGGTTTTATATTAAAGATCCCGGATGGTACCTCAATTTAATATCTCCTAAATCTGCAAGGTAAGGTATTCTTCTATTTGAGACAATTCTGTTCAAAGTACTATCAGGTGCTAAATGTGGGCACTTCTTCTAGTAAAAATTTAAACATTTGTTGATCACGTTATAAGAGACTAGTCTGTTCTACTAGATTTAATTCTATTGATTGTTTTTCACTGTTGATCAAACCAAAGAAAGATAGAAAGGAAAGGTAAAGAAGTTTGGGCCGCCAGTTCATTGGGCCCGTTCACTTGGTTTGGGCCGTGCAAGTGATCAATCCGACCCCACTTATGATCTGCATGGAGACCGAAACGATTAACAGTAAAGTATCCGTCAAAATCATTACAGGAAAACGAAATCCATCATAATCTGTCCTCTTTGTAAAGCATCATAAAAGAAGGCACGCGTCACAATCTGTTATGTTTTCTTCCCTAACTTCGTGACATCCAAGAAAGGTACTTGTGGTTTGAATGCATAATATCCAATGAAAGCATAAACGAAAATAAGGAAAATGACTCCCAATAGATTAGAGAGAAGGAGGGCCACATATTGCTCCATCAGAGCTACAGTGGAAGACAATTTTGAATATAACTGCTTCTATTAATTATAAATAAGTTCAACCAATGAAGTTGCACTAAAAATCAGCGCACATATATAGTTCTTAATTCTCATAATACGTTAAGGAATGAAACATAAATACCATTCAATGTGAATATATGATATAAAATCAATAAAAAGATTTGCTAAGAACAAATTACTCAAATCCGATATTTAGTTTTTCTCAAACAAATAATTTGTAGGACATTGTAGCTCGGAAGTCTTGAATAGAGTAAGCTCAATTTTAATGTAGATAAAAATAGACAAGTGATTAAAACTAAAGAAATAAATGATAGATTATTTTAAGGGAAAAATACCCCTCAAATATTCAAAGATCTCCCAATTTGGGGCTGGTTTGAGAATAATATTAAATCACGTCAATCTAACTCATCCTACTATTAATATATTTTATCAAGATGAGTTCAACAAATACGTGAAATTCATGTCATTGTAACCTTTTTTTCTACAAAAAAAATTTGCTTATTGTTGCGGCCTTTGATATAATTGTCAGAGAGCCAAATACCAATAGTCAAAGGGCGTAATTACATTAATATTAATACACGGAAATACTAATAATCAAACTAATTAGTTATTTTTTATTTTATATATAAGGTATTTTTAATAATTTTTTAAATTAAAAATTAAATTTTATTAATTTTATTTGATTATTTAATAATTTTAATCTTATTTATATTTAATATATATTTTAAAAATAACAATGAGAAAAACAAATAAAGAATAAAACTATATATATATATATATATAAACAGATTTGATGAGATAATATACCACCTCCTATTCTGGATAGGAAAATTTACAAATAAAAACCTCGTGATATATAAAATTATGATTTAGGATTTTCAATTTAGAAAATAGCAACTAAGGACCTGGTCTTATTTTTACAAATATGAAATATGGGTGAAATATCTAAAATACCACTTAATCAAATTGTGATTTGATCTACTAAAGTTGTCATTCACTAAAGTGAACTTGTCATTTCTCATAGTCAATGCATTTGACTAAGGGGCATTTCAGACATTTCATTACAATTTCATATTTGGAAAAATAAAATTGAGTCCTTATTTGTTATTTTCTAAATTAAGAGTCCTAAATCATAATTTTACATATTGGGGGTCTGTATTTGCAATTTTTCTTTCTTATGTAAGAGTTATATGACTAAATTTAGTATATTAATTAAATTAGTGAAGTTAGTTATTTGTAATAAATAGGTGTTATTTTCTAAGACATTATCTTGAGAAAAAAATGTATAAATATGAGAAATAAATTGGATTGTGATTTTATATTTAGAATCAAATTAAATATCAAATTAACTCTTATATTAAAGACAAGAGTATTAAAGACAAGAGATACTATCTCTTGTCTTTAATATAAGAATTAATTAATTAATTTAAGTAGATTAAATAAATTAGTTAAATTAGTTATTTGTAATAAATATGTATTGTCTTATCTAAAATATTCTTACTAATCAAATGTTATTTGGTTAAATATTTAATATGTATAATTACTATAAAAACTACCATAAAAAATAAATAAATAAAAATAACAAAATAGATTGAAATCTTATATTTAAAATTAAATTAAAATTACAGTCATTCAGTGGCATGAAAATACTTTTGAAGTTTTGATGGGAACAAAAATAATAATGAGGTGTATTACCCACTGTGTGCCTTCACGTATCTGATCTTAGCCCTAATCTTTTTGCAGAGGCATAGATATATATAAGATGCTCACTCTATCTCTTCTATCCTCCAGGAAGAAATCACTTCTTATCTTCCTACTTCCCCTGTTTTCTCTGAACCTTGCCGGCGAGGAGCAACCATTGCCGGCAACACCATCCGAACCGGAGGAAGCGTCATTTCGCAATTCAATGGCAAGAACTCTCTGTTCTTCTTCGTTATTCTCAGCTCCCATTCTTTCTCCCACAGTACCGGCTAAACCAAAGCTTCGAATTTCAAGTTTTGAATTTCTTTCTTCCTCTTCTCCCTCTTTTCCTTCTTCTTCTTCTTCTTCTTATCTATCTTTTAAGCTCCCAAAGGGTTGCGGCAATGGTGCTTTGTCGACGCACGCTTGCTCGACCTCGCCTTTCATCGGAAGAGTTGGATGGCACAGAAGGCAAGGAAATGCTTCCTTGCTTTCTTTTTCCATTGATTCGACTCCTGTAGCTGACGTGGGTAAAAGGGATTGGTCCCAGGTTTTGTCATCGATGCTTCCGTTTGTTGTTCTTGCCACTGCAATTGCCGCTTTGGCTCAACCTTCTACTTTTACATGGTGAGTTTTCACGGTGATGATCTTTTTTATGTGATGTTAATCTTCTTTTCAAGTTGAATTGGACATTTTATGTGAAGGGGAAAGAACCGCTTGAAACTGCCATTTTCTCATTGCTTTTCTTGCATCGCATTGATTTTGCGTGTTATTATAATCCATTGTCTATTATTAACTCGGTATTTCAATTTTTATGCGTTTATTTTCTCATAATTGAGCTATAAACCTTTGCTTTCAGGATTTCACGGTTTAATTTTTCTTTTTAATATCGGAAAGCTATTTGACTTCAATTTTTGTATTGAAAAAAGGTATTTGACTTCAATTTTTGTATTAAAAAATGGTATTTGACTTCAATTTTATTTTGGTTAGTGAGTGGTGACGAAATTTTATTATTTGAGTGTGGGACGGCTTTTGTATGTCTGATAAAAGGCTCCTAAAGAGAGTATTGGAAACTTTTTTATGGTGCTCTGACCTTTTTCTATTCATCTCACCTGACAATGAAGTTGATCTTCTTCTATTTTTATTTCTTTCTTCTATTGGTCGCTCTTGAAGTCAAGAATCTGGCATTCTATGAGTAAATTGAAACGATTATGTAGTGAATTGGATTGATAATACTAGAACTAAGAGCTTTCAACTTCTCCAGGGTATCCAAAGAGTTATATGCCCCTGCTCTTGGTGGGATTATGTTGTCTATTGGAATAAAACTTTCCCTAGATGATTTTGCCGTTGCATTTAAAAGGTGTGACTTTCAATTTCCCTTGATTTCTGCTTAATTTGAGTTCATGAAATCATGAATCTACTTACAAGTTTCATTGTTCTCTTATCCATGGCAGACCTGTACCACTTTCCATTGGGTTCATTGGACAATATGTGCTAAAACCTATTCTTGGTGTCCTGATCGCAAAGGCGTTTGGCATGCCAAGGGTGTTTTATGCAGGATTTGTCCTCACTGCTTGTGTTTCAGGGGCTCAGCTATCTAGCTATGCAAGCTTTCTAAGCAAAGGGGATATTGCACTCAGCATTCTCCTTACAAGCTGTACCACAATTGCATCGGTTCTTTTAACACCTCTATTAACAGGTCTTATCATTGGATCCGTAGTTCCTGTTGATGCAGTTGCCATGTCAAAGTCAATACTACAGGTAATTAGTGGCTCGCACGGAAAGCTGTTTAACCACGTAGAAATTTAGTGTGTTAGTGGACCCCTACCAGCTGCCAGCTAGCACATTGTTCATACCTTAGAAGTTTTCTCCAGCTAAGTGCCTTCACAATTTTCTACTTGTTTTCAATTTGGTGATGGATGTAGCTGGAAATATTTGGCAGGTTGTTCTTGTTCCAGTTACTCTTGGACTTCTGCTCAATACATATGCAAAGCCAGTTGTATCTGTTCTTCAACCTGTGATGCCCTTTGTTGCAATGATATGTACTTCGATGTGCATTGGCAGCCCGCTTGCTATAAATCGGAGTCAAATTCTGTCTGGAGAAGGTCTTCAGTTAGTTTTTCCTATACTGATATTTCATGCCGCTGCCTTCACTTTAGGATATTGGATCTCAAACATTCCAACATTGAGGTACGCTCACTACCAAAATTTGAAATTTAGAAACAACAACAAAAGTCAAGCAATCCAAACTCTATTCCTTAGATGCAGATTTAACCCTATGTTATTATCTGTACATTTTATTTTGGTGCGACCTTTTTAGTAACTAGTCATTCACAGCTGCATCCTTCTTAGTGGGCCTTACTATCTGGGGTTCTAATCATGTTATATGCTAATGTTTGTTGGGTTTAGATCATAAGATGTAAATTGAGACAGCAGATGATGGACTGTTTTCATAGTAGCTAAATTGTTTGGATTATTTTTAAGTTGTTTGAAAGCATTTGTGCTTTAGTCAGGGTTAAAAAGATCAAATTAGGCATGAACATACTTTCATGCATCAGTAAGTTGAAGTTTCTGATTGATTGATCAACGTTGTATATATCATCTCGTATCAAGGGTTGCTGGCAATTTGTTCTGCAAACTGTGCGCACTTGCAAAATATACAAATTCTGTATTGACAATCAACATGAAGTCAATTGTAAAGCCAGCCCCCTCCTCTCCCAAGAAAAAATTAGGAAGTTAGAATTTCCCCCCTTACTCTGATCATGTAGCATTTGGGAATTTGGAGATTGAGCTTGGGTATTTCATTTCTGTGCAAGGCTTTAATATTTTAACCATCTTTGTTGGCATTCCGAGCAAGTGGGCTATCCATTTGATAAGAAGATAGGGTTAACTGTTAAGTGGGATCTCCTAATGGATGGAAGATTCTAAGTAGTAAATACTGAGGGATGAAAGATAATTTTTGGGATGCAAAAAATAATTTAGAATAACACGAGGAATAGAAAGGAAATATGATGAAAAATAATATTTGTATTTGACAACGGTGACAATAAGTCTCATCTCACCGGTTATGGTCAGTTATACGGATCACATAACAGATATAATGGTAATAAAGCTAAAAGATATTAATGCCCAAAAAAAAAAAAAATCATCTCAGTATCCATGCAACCTTTCTCCCTCTCCCATGGTGGCCCATGCACATTTTGAGGGCTAAT